CACTGTAACTTTTTTCTCTCAAAATTCCCTGACCCAATATTAAAGTTTTCTCAGAATATTTTTGGAACCTCTTCACTTAAAAGTGGGTCCTTTACAGTTTCTCCAGAGAGTTAAAGAGAATGTTTACTTAAGAACTGACATTAGTGATTCAACCTAAATGTAAAAGGGGAAGCTGTGGTGAAGAGCATTTCCTCCCTCCAAGGGCTGGCATCAAACAAGCAATTGGAGATCCTTGCAAGATGTCTCTTATTTCAGTCCACTGTTGTTTGCTCTTGACTTCCTTGTCTTTGAAAGAGCACATTCGTAATCATAAATGAGAACACAGATGACCTGAATACTTTATTTAGCAGATACATATTAAACTTTATATACTGTAGACATGAGTTCTCTTTTTTTACCAGCATCCATTGGACATTTCTAAAGATTAGTCATATATTATTAGAGCACAAAATGCCAATTAATTTCCTCAAAGCAGAAACCCTGTGGATCATATTTTCTGACCACAATGCACAATGGTTCTAATCACACACACATATACACACACACGAAATAAAATCTATGAGAAAATCAAAACTCTAATTACAGAGTATTTAGAAATGAATGGAAATGGGAACACTTTCATATGGTCAAAGCTGAACTCAGGAAAAGTCATAACCTTGGATGATTTCTTTTTTACCTTAGTAAAGAATGAAAGTAAACTAAGCAAACAATTTTTAGGAAACTTGTTTAAAAGGAGAAGATAAAGAAAAATATTGCCATGCATAAAAACGGATGGGGTCAGGTGTAACCTGAGAAGCTGAGGAAATGAGGCCAGTGGAGGAAATCTAAAGAGGATCCACCATTTTTCTTGGAAATAAGTATTGTATTTTTCCAGGGTGTATTTTCAGGATTTCAGTATATCCTGACTTCCATGAACACAGGGAAGATGTTCGACAGCTGTTTAAACTTAATGGTGAGATGATAAAAAACCCTGCTACTTTTTCATTTTTAAAAAGGAACTATAAAATAAATTGCTATTATCTTGTTAATGTTTTGAGGTACAGTTACATTTCTATTACCCAGGGGAAGATTGAGGACTATTTAAAACTCCTTATTGGAAGCTAAGGAAAAAACAAATACGTTCTAAGGGTCAAAAACACCAGGTGTTCTACAAAACACACAACAGAATAGCAACTGAGCAAAATCTAAGACACCGTTATGGGATATCATTAAACCAGTTTTAATTTTTTTTTTGTCCGAGTTGTTCGTAAGGATTTTTGTTTTGTGTTAAAGCTGTGGAACACACCTGTTCACTCAGTTTCCTGGGGAGGCTATTTTGGGCAATGCTGAACTCTCTTTTACTCCCAGATTTATACCAGCCTATGCCCTACTGCTCAGTATTTACTAAAGCCATTAGAGCATGAGAAAGTTACTCTTTTTCCTGAGCTTTTCACCGTTGGGGACACAGATCCCACTTTCTCCTACTCCCTAAATACTGATTCCAGAGTAGATTGTCTTTCAGCCTCCATTTTTACTATGATTATGCACTTTTGTCCTTTTCAGTATTTCATGGGTATCTTAGTGAGATGTAGGAAGAGAGAGAGGGTGTTAGATGGATCTGATATTATATGAGAATTCTCTACCACAGCATTTTCTGAACTATGTGCCTTGGAATAGTCAAGTTGATCCTAATAGGTGTTCCATGAGTCTAAATCGCCTTTTATAGATTTACTGTGAAAATTAGGAAATTAAAGGCTCTGGGAAGTCCTGAGTAAAGAAGCCTGGTTTATTTTATTTAAATCTAAGCTAGTTGAGCACACAACACTTTTTTACAGCTGCCTGCACCTGGTTCTAGGCTAAGGTCAACCAGTAGGTTCCCTTCCTGACCCTTTTCAGAGACCTGGACTGGCTTTTGGGCCTCCATGCTGCTTTTTTACCTTTTAGCAGTACTTGGCACCAGACGATTTACATGTACCATGACCTTCTCCCTGATTTTTTTTTTTTGTTACTTCATTAGATGGATCTTTTTTTCTTTAAATTTTTTATTGTTATGTTAATCACCATACATTACATCATTAGTTTTTGATACTTCCCCCTGATTTTATTTTCCCCCCTTTAAGAGTGAAGAACACTAACTCTAAAAAGTGCCTACCATGTACCATCTCATTGGTTGCTTTAAATATATGACCCAGATGCTGGACTCTTCTTCTTGATGGGAGCGTGCGTATGTGTGTGTTTGGTGTGTAGAGGTGAGGAAGGAGGTGGTCTGTGAAATCAACCCTACTAGTAGTCAGTTGGACATCTACACATGGACTCTCTTTGTAGCCCATAGCCCACATTAAAAGAGTCTCAGTTATCTGCTAGTGATGGGGTAAAAAAAGTTCTATTCTTTACATCCTGAAGCCCTGAGGAAGGTTTAATCAGTTCTTCACTTCAAATTCACCTCGATAGAATCCAAGTCCTACAGCACTGGTGATGGAGTATAGGGCACAGCATCCCTGTTCCAGTTAGATATGCGCCCTCCCTTAGCTGCAGGCAGGGGCAGGAGGTGAGGGGGCACAAGGCTGTTCTCTCACACTATGAAGAATATCCCCTCAGGCCCCCCTTTCTTCCCTTCATATTAGCACTTCCTCTCCAACGCTCTCCCTCTCCAGAATCTGTCTCTTGAGGCCTTCATCTCACTCCCATTCCCAAATTGTGGATCTTCTCCCCGCCATTTCTTGAATCTTGGAAATCTTCAGGACTTTGGTAGGTCACAGCTGTCTTTGTTCTTGCCATTTCTGCAGACAGGCAGGAGGAGAATAAATGCTGTGGCTCCTAAAGACTGGGTATGTGTATGTGTGTGTGCGAATATCCATGGCAATCTGCACTGAAGAACAGCTTTTTCTCTGATATCTGCAAGACTCCAGATCTTTAAGGAACACCAGATATCTTGCATTGGGAGGGTTCATTGTCCACCAATAGTTGATGTTTGTAAAAACTTTTGGGCCTCCTTGTGCAGGATGTGTGTTTTTTCTCCTTTCTAACATTGGCTCAAATTATGAGTCCCTGTTCTAGATATCTATTTCTGTAAAACAAATCACTCTAAAACGTAGTGACTTAAAAACCACCAAATCATATTTATTTTGTTCATAAATCTATCACTGGGACAGGCCCAGCAGGGATGGCTGCTGATGTCCGGGATCCCAGCTGCAGACACATGTGGTCTGTCCACTGGGCCTCTCCCTCATGGTGGCCTCAGAGTGGATAAATTTGCATGGTGGCTCAGGGTTCCAAAGGCGAGTCTTCCCAGAGAGCAAGACAGAAGATTCAAGGACTTCTTTGGCCTAGCCTCAGATGTCATGTGGTAGGACTTCCGCTGTATTTTATTGGTCACATAAGATCACTCCTGATTCAATGTGGGAGTGGGCTACACAAAGGCGAGAATATCAGGACATGAGGGACCACTGGGGGACCACCTTGGCTGCCTATAGCAGCCTCCTTCTATTCGGTTTCCAAAGGCAAACTGATTTTTTAATGCAAGTTAAATTTGTCCAGGATATGACACCACTGTACCCAAAAACTTCAGTGGATACTCCACCAGAAAGAAGAGATCAGGACACACGTTTTCTATGCTCCTTCCAGCCACTGTGGAATACTCAATTAGAGGCAGAGAGTGTTTGTACTCTGGCATTCCATTTTAGAGAATGGCAGTCGTATTATCCACCCTGGTTCTCGGTACTCTTGACTCTGTACACTCAGTTTTGCAGGTTGTACTGGAGAGGGAGAAAATTCTGGATGCTGGCTTTAAAATGATAGTAAGGCAACCAAACTACTGTGAAACCAGCAGCCATCCCCTGTCAGCTCCCAACATCATGCTGAGCAGTAACAAAAGAAATAAATGGAGATTAATGATACTAGGGTTTGGGAAGTAATGCTTACATGCATAAGATGTACCCACTTAAGTCTTTTAAAAACCAATTGTTCTAATGCTTTTATTGCTCTGTAACAAAATAAATTGAGCTGACATTGATCCTAAGGTCACTGTGAATTGAAGTTCAACCATATTAATGACTAAGTAATCAGATGCAAGTTTGAATGCTAGGAGGAGGCTTGCGGAGGAAGGCATCACAGTATATCGAATGCTTGTAAACATTAGTACAAGTGTAGAGTAAAAGAGACTCCCCTACTTGATGCTAAATAGGACCCAAGTTCCCCTACTTTCTGAGGGATGAAGCACTAAGGATTCGTTTCCATTTCACATCTGCTAGGGTATAATATACTGCCCTAAAGAAGAATGGATTTTTATTTGGCTACTTTTCTCCTAAGACGCTATTGGTTCTCCTCCATGTTTCTGGTTCTCTGCAAGGTGGGCTGAGCCTCCAAAAGGGGGTCCTCCAGGATGGCATGAGGGAAAATGCTGCCCCTAGTACAGAGGACGTGAAACGAAATGGGCTCATTGCTGGGACTTTTTGCCCCATTCTCTTTCCCAGGTTCATCTCTGCAGGGAAGTGCTTCCCTAACTGAAGGGGCTGCATAATCTTCAATAAATCGGGCTCTCTGCCCCACCTCACTCCCACTTTGCCCTCTGTATCAGTGCCTCATGTCCTTCTCTGGCACCTCTGTTGGTAATTAGAACAGCAGCTGGTGCCACCAGCTCAGCCCTCACATCTCACGGCACCCCTAGGACTCACTCGGAGGACAGAAGAGACAGCGCAATCACAAAGTGAGGGGGCTGCGGGGAGCCCTCCCATGTTGGGGGCTGGGAAGCAGGACTTCCTGATGCTCTGCAGAGAGACCGCCAATGTGATGATGCGGATGGGCGAGCACTGGGGGCACGCGTCTGGAACCAGAATCACACTTGGCTGTGGGGATCCGAGCCTTGTACTGGGCCCACGCCGTGAGCTGGAGCACACTCCAGTGGGCTAACTTACATCACATGGATGGGGATGAGGTGGGCCCTCAGGGACAGCTGTGGCTACCGCCCTGCCGCTGCTGCCACCTGCATGGCACTCAGCTCTCTCAGCTTCACCCCCACTGTGGGCAGCCCGGCAATGCTGTGAGATGGGGCCTCTGTCTTGTGGCTGGTACCCCAGTCTCAGATCCGTGAGTCTTGTCTCACTGTTTCCCGGGGAGGGGGGGGCGGGTCAGTGCGGCAGCTCCTCTGCGTGAACACAGTGTGAGATGAGGCATAGCAGCGGAGCCCGGCCACTGCAAAGGAAGGAGGGGCCAGCAATCAGATGTTTTCTAGGACATCCAGGGGGACGAGGCCTTTCTTCTTTCCACTGAGGACTCTGATAAAGCCGTCCTGCTCCTCTTCGGAAGTCACGCAGATCTGAATGCCAAGGAAGAAAACATCGAAGTGTCAACAAGGAAGAAATTAGGAGCTGCTTGAATCACTGTGGACTGAGGCCAGGAGCACCAAATTGGAAAAGGGAGAGCAGTTTCAGGTGGGGGGGGGGAGGGGGGAGACTGGCTCTGTAAGAAAAAGGTTGAATAAATATTAGGCAGCACCTGGGTTTGGAACTAGGCCCAGTTGCTGAATGTTTTCTGAGTTTTATGAATGAAGTTTTATGAATGAAGATCAATAAAATAGGATTAATTATATTGTGTCCCCCTGAAGAGTCCCTATGAGGACAGAATGATATAATGCTTACCAGAAAACTTAGCATGTGGCATGCAATGAGTCCTCAGTATATTATTGTAAAGATCCAGATGAATAGCTGGCTCCTGTCATGTGCTTGGAAGTTTATACATATCATATCAGGAAGTCAAAGGAAGCTATTCCATTCCTGGCCCCTAGCAAAGCAAACAGATGCTAACATCTCCCCTCACCCACCTGTGCTGGACTTAACAAGAAAGTGGTTAAAATCTATTTGGATACCCTTGGCACTTATCACTGCCACTTACCACTGAAGGGCATGAAGTGTGGATATGGTCAGATGGTCATATGGTTTTTGCAAAGAGCTGATAGGGTCTTGTGAGTTTCACCCACTCAACCTGCTTCCATGGGTGGTAGGTTATGTCTTAGGTTGGATTCCCTAGAAACAGAGCTTGAGACATGAATCCTTGTGAAGTGGCTTGTTGAGGGCATGCTCTCAGGAGGTGGGAAGTGAGAGAAGCATGGGGGACAGGCGAAGGAGCTGAGCAAGGGTGAGGTCTCAGCTGGAGATGAGCTTCAGCCTGATCCCACAGGGAGCTCTGGAGCATGAAGTACCCCATGGAGTGGTCCCACCTCGAGGCAAGGGGTCTGGCCTCTTGGGCCCCATGTCAGTCATTGGCCACTGGCTGACGTGGGTGTGAGAGGTGTGACCTGTCAGGTGAGGCAGCTCTTGGTCCTCAAAGGGGCATTAGCTGGGTAAGGGGCAGCTGTGAGTTGTTAGCTGATACAGCAACCAGGAGATGGGTGTACCCACCTAGTGAAGGGGATGTGGGCAGAGCATCAACAGAAACCATATCACATGGAATAAGGGGCTTTAACGGGACACTTAAAGAGCTTCATTTGTGACTCCTGGGGTTTGGGACATACAACGGACTGGTTTCTGGTTCATGTTTCAGAAACTTAACTGTGTGATAAACTTGACTGGAAAGAGGCTCACACAGGGAAGTAAAGAGGAGTTAATTTGTAAAAACAGAAGATGTGTTGACTATTTCCCAAAGGCCAGAGGTGAGCTGCGGGAAAGAAATAGCCTTGGGGCCATGTTAGATCCTGCTAGAGCCTGATGGGTAAGGTGGCTGCCAAAAGGAGGGTGAACCACCTGATTTTCAAAGGCTAAGACCTGTCACTGTCCATGCCAGGAACACCACAGACAAGGGACCCTAGTGATAGGCAGGTCGTAGAAGAACCCATAAAAATGCCTTGAGAGCAGGATTTACCTTTAAAACCTGTCAAAGACTGAGTTTCTTCCTTATTGAAATATGCCCCAAATTCAACAATCGTTACTAAACAGTCCAAACAATCTGCATCAGTAAAAAACTTTACACCTGTTCCCTTGTGCAGATTTGTTCTAGATGCTTATTTAAAAAATGTCCAATTGAAATATTTAAATAGAGAAATGAATATGAAAATAATTTACTGACATATATACACATAGATGTTGTATCATGTTGATGTTGAATACAGAGAACACTTGGGCAAGGAATCAGAAAACTGAAATTCTGGTGAGAGCTCAGAGCCTTACACCGTTACCCCAAGCCATAGAACAAACAAAAAAATGATTGCAGTTTGGGTCTCCATTAGCTTCTTGGGTCATTTCCAGAGTTTTCCTGGTTTACATTAACAGTTAATTACAGTTTGTCTAGTAAGAGCCCACTGACAGTTGATGCATGTCCATATACACTCCAAACCTGTATTTTCTCTTTTTCTCTCTAAAGATTTCATTGTGGAAGAGAAAAAGTGCTTGGTAGAGGCAATGGAAGAGTTGCTGGCAGGTGTCTCAAAAATAGGAGGCTAGGATGCACAAATGTTCATGCTTTGTTGCATGTACTGACTTGTTCTGCACCTCCTAGTTGGCATCCCTGTAGTGATTTGATTTGGGGAGACCTTCCAAAGGACGAGGAGTTCTGTACCCACCGTGCACTGCTTGGACAGTCTTGGGAGCAGACAATGGGTAAAGAGATGAGGGAGCTAAAGGAAGTTGAAAAAGATGAATACAAAGGGTTGAAAATAGGCCTGTACTCTTCCCAGAAATGAAGGGTCTAGGATTTAAAATTCTGATGGTACAAATAGATAGCTCATCAGGCTTGAGAACCTGCCATTTTAGGAAGCAATAACCAGGTTGGAAAAATTTCCTTTCATTTTGAGATGGAATGGAAAGATGAACCCAGAAGATTATGGGTAGAGAAGGGTGGGAGGTGAAGGAGAATCAGAGGAACTCCTTTGCTTTGGAGGGTCACGAATAGGGTAACCAACTTGTCTTGGTTTGCCTGGGACTTTCTCAGTCTTTGCACTGAACATTCTACATCTCAGGAAATTTCTCAGTCCCAGACAGAGTAGACAGTTGATTATCCCAGCAAATGTTTTACTGGACAGGCCACATGAGAGATGCCCCCAATGTCTGAGATCCTTTAATTTCCCACTTTCTGCGTTTACTCATTCATTTGCTCATTCATTCATTCTTCAAGTTTTTATTGAGTGCTTACTGTGTGCTAGCTACCACTCCAGAAGCTGGGGAAAAAAAAGGCAGATCCCTGCTCTCATGGAGCTTATTGGGCAGAACTGGGAGAACAGACATGTGTGATGAGCACAAGGGCCTTGTGTGTTTTAATCACTGATTATTTAGTGAACAACATTTAGTAAGCTGACTACATAAATCATTAACAGGTTTTGAATGAGTTTCTGAACTCATGAGGGAGAGGGTCCCTTTGCTGACCTGACCTATCTCATTGACTGGAACTGGGGCACTGGCCAACTACTGAAATCATTACCAGCAAGGATCAATTCAATTAGGATTCTCCTGAGTCATGGAAGGTAGACCTGGACAAGAGAACAAATATCAGGGCTCTGCAGTGTGGGGAAAAAGGCAGAGATGACTACCAGTACCAACCAACAGTTGGGTGTTAGAGGATTTTAAGTGGAGGAAGGAGATGGCCAGATATATATAAACTGGTTCCTTTTCCTCTCCTGTCCTCTCCTCTCCTTTCTTCTCTTGTTACCTGATGGCCTTCTTCCCTCTCTCCCTGCCTCCCTCTTTCCCTCTCTTACTTCCTTCCTCTCTTGCTCTCTGGACAGCCAGACTTCTGAAGACTGGACTGATTTCTTTCCTACTGCTGACAAATCCTGGCTTGTCCACCCTGCTTGCTGACAGTGTTGCAGACTGCCTGGGGGACATCATGTGTGCAGCAGGGATGGCCTGGGCATCTCAGGACCAAGGCGGATGCAGCATATATGGAGCAGCAGCAACAGCACCCACCATACTCGACACAGCACCTCTAGCAGCCTAGTGCTTACCTAGCCATCCAGCTTGGCTCCTGCCAGCCCCAGGGCATCACTCAGACTTGATGTTCTTTTTTTTTTTTTTCCGAGAGAGAGAGCACACATGCACTTGCAGGGAGGGGGGACAGCAAAGGGAGAATGAGAATCCTACCCTGAAGCCGACTCCCCACTGAGCGTGGAGCTCTAGGAGGGGCTCCAGTCCCAGGACCCTGAGATCATGACCTGAGCCAAAACCAAGAGTCAGCCACTCAATCCTGATTGAGCCACCCAGGCATCCCACTTAGTATTTGTTATTAATGATAACCCCAATCACACATGTTTCTGCTCTGGTTTCTGCATTTATGGCTTTACCCACCGTCCTGCTCTCACTCCCCCTAGTTCTTCAGGACTATAGGAGTAGACCAGATTTTCCCCATTCTTGTCTCCCCTTGAAATCTGGTTGCTGACCTACTCCCCAGCCCTCTGCTTCTCCTATGTTGCTCCAGATTCTGCTCCCTGCCAGTTAAGTGCCCCTCTTGGCTCAGTCCCTTCCTGGTCCTTCCTACCTGGCTTAATCCCTATAGTCTAACCCACTTCTGGGAGCACATATGCTAATAACATCTAAGGTCTCCCAGGCCTTGCCTCCAAACTCATTAACATTCAAATGGGCTGCCACTTAAACTAGATGAGCAGTCATTTTATTTGAAAAGATTTTTTGCCTAGCGTTCTGGACTGTCTTCCCTCAAATTACCTATGAAAAGATAGGGGGTGGGGGGGTTGAATGTTCTAACACTGAGTACTGGGACTGGCAGCCATTCTGAAGGCTGACAGGCATTTCCCTACAACCACTGGAGCTCAACTCAATTGATGACTGAAGCAAGTTGTACTGCTGGATCTAGGATGAATCTTTCAGCCTAAAACACAGCTCTTCATCCAAAGTCTGCCCCAGGCGCAGAGATTCCGCAACTGCCCTGAGTAGAAAGCTGGGCAGTCATTTCTCTCTTACTACGGGCTCTACTTTCTAATGTAGTCAAAATATACCTTTTCCTTCTTACACTACCCTCCTCCAAATCAATGCCTCTCTTTCTACATTTATTGGAAAACTGTGGTCCTCCAAAAAGAGGAAATGACAGGAAGTAGGGGCACATTAGGTGGCACCAGTGTCTCCTGGGAGGTAAGGTCTCAGCAAATAAAACAGTGGGTGGGAATGGAGACAGAAAGACCATGGGATCTTGCATGAAGGAGGAAGTAGCTTTGCATGTGTTCCAGGAGTTGAGAATGTTGGGAAAAAAGCAATGGCAATGGCAATGACAGTGGAAAATCCTAACTTGACCCAGCAGACCAACATTGGATAAACGCCTCTCAGATAACAGAAGTTAGCACAAGAGCCGTGCGTAATTACCTGCTCCCCCAGCTGAGGA